AACAAATCAACAATAATAAATTCTCTTCAATCCTCCAACCCACTTGTTATTAGCTATGTGCCTCTCAAGTTAGCAAGCTAAGGTTTAGATAACCTAGCATAGGCTGTTGCCTTATAAAACTTTAGCCATAACAATAAATCTAACGTAGCAGTAAATATATATCAGTGTTAGTAATGTTATCTTTGTCGTCATCAATGAAATGCATTATTCGTCTGAAATCTTTATTTCTCTGAAAAGAAAAAAAAACGCAGCTGTGTTCAATACTAATTATGCCTTCACCAAACGTGACTGTTTAAACAATGAACAGAGAAGGAAGTTTCTTTATTTAATTTATATTTATGCAACACATTTGATAACTTTACGGTGAATAGTGGAAGACAGTGCACCACTTGTAAACCTAGTGCAGGTCTAGGTATAGCATGGATCAGCCGTGCTAAATAAACAAGCCCTGCTCCACTCGCTGTTTTCTTAGATTCTTGGGGATGGAAAAAGCAAAAAAAAATTCAGCCATTATATCGGTTATCAGCGGCTGCTTCAAAACACCACAATACCAGTATTGGCGATACCAAAATTTTCTTATCAGTTGGGCTCTACCACATATAGCACATTATAAGCCTGTTAAAAAGGTAGAATTCAGCAACCTATAGCAATGGCATGGACAAAAAAATACCTTGTTTTAACTTTGACCTTGATTTATGATTTTGATCTTGGAGCTTGGATAATGAATCCTGTATGGGACACTCTGTCTAGTGTATTTATGTGGATTAGAAGTTATAATCCAGACAAGAAAAGACCTAGTTTTACCGTCCATCTGAATTCATGACCTTAACTTTGAAACTGGGGTGATGAAAAACTGTGCGGCACTCCATCTACTGGTTATTCATATGTGTATCAAGTTATTTAAATTATCTTGGGCAGAAGAGTTATGAGCGGAACAAGACAAGTTTTATGAACACCTCTGACAGCCTATAGAAAGTATAGAGATGGAACTGAAGAAATAAATAAATACATATTAAAAATAAAAACAGCATGCATGTTTTGTGACACGTACTGAGTCTCTCCAAAATCTCCTCATCAGTCATTTTGGACTTTTTCCTCTGCCGGTCGGTGTGGCGGTACATGGTGTTGGAGGTATTATCGGGCTGGACCTGCGACTCGGGTGGAGTCAGGACTTCCTTCACTGGGGAAGTGGGCTTCGGTGGATCCATAACAGAGCGAGTGTAGATCTGCATCACGAGGAGGAAGAGTCAAAACGCGATGCTGTGGCAGCGTCTGAACGATTTCGCCGGCCGTGTCTCGTGAACTCACAGATTTAGTGTGCTCGGGTCGAGGGGCGATGACTGGAGGCAGCTCGTCATCGTCGTCGTCATCCTCGTTTTCCTCCTCCTCCTCCTCTTCCTCCTCCTCCTCATCCTCCTCCTCAGACACAGGCGGTGCGATCGGGGGTTCTGTCGCTGATGTTTTGGCACTCTGGATGGTAGAGATATCAATAGGTATGGGTAAATGGAAAGGGAATGTGTAAATTATTCTACAAATAAAAAAGCTTCAAACCCCAAACCAGCCGTGTGTGATCGGTAGGCCGTGAAAAGGTTATGAACAATAAATATCTCACCTGTTGTAGACAGCTGTTTCAACAGCTCCAATATGTAGAAATTGGGTGTAATTCTAACTAGACTGAGCAGCTTATGTCTAGTTAAAGTAAGACCAGAACCAAAGTGGATTGCTAATATTGTAAAACAACTACAATCTTGAAAAATATATATATAACGTTTTATGCTAATGCTACCTTTCCACTGCAATCGGTTTTGAACTGCATGGTCATTCTGGCACCAATATGATATTCCTGCAAGACATAACCCAAATTGCATTGTAAGTGCCACAGCTAGCTGCTACTGTTGCTATTTGCACCAAGAGCTATCTACAGCAGGTAAGATATTAACAATTCATACATCTATTCACAGAAGCACATTTCAAAGCAATTGATGATTATATTTTCATATAAAAGGAGGTATTTAAAAAAAAATCACACCAAATTCAAATGACTTCAGACTCAAGTGTTCATCATACTACAAAAAATATCCAAAAGTAAAGATAAAATGTGATGTTACTCTGTAAAAACAATAAACTGAGTGTTAATAATCAGGTAGAGGTTCGTTAATAGCAAAGGAAAGCGTTGTGAGTCGAGTGAAGGCCTGAGGGATAAAAATGAGTTTGCATTCAGAGCAGTTCATCTGAGGGAGTTTGGGATGTTGGGTCCGGGAAGGTGAGTCATGAACCAGTCATGAAAATGAATTTTTAAGCAGTGTTTCATTTTTAACTGTGCTGTAGGAGAAATCATACTGCTGTGATTAATAAGTCACCAGCCTGTTTAATATGTTCAACAAGCCACCCTACTTTTCCTCATGCAAGAACTTTGCTTGCCTTGGATCGTCTCCCTCTTATGGGATGGAAACGCTCCTTCTGCTGGCGTCATGCATTAATGAAGCAGCGCAGCTCAGTTCTGGTGTTTAAAGGGAAAAAGTCCCAATCCTTCATTCAGACTGGGCCTTTTAGATTTGCTTTAAGGAAGACTGGGCCAAGACTGCAGTGCAGAAAGTGCCTGTGCAGGTTTTTTTTTTCTTTCTGTAAGCATCATGCACCGACGTCTGAGATGGTGATGGAGCTACAGGCTCATTGTTGGCAGCATGGATCAAATAGGTAACAATGTGAACTCAAACATGCAGATTAACTGTGACCCTCTATGATACGTGCCAGTGTCCAGACATTTTAACACCATTGTCACATTTAACTAAAATTTAAAAAAAGAGAAAGAAAAGAGAGCTCTTCCTCAAGATAATAAATTTTAAACATCCTAATCTAATCCAGCCAATCAAACCCCTGTGAAACATCTACACAAAGAGTGGCGATGCCTCTGAAATCAAATATTTGCGTTATGCAGTTAATCGCCGATCAAATAGCTGAATTTAGCTTGAGGCCGCTGCAGAGATACATCATGTGGAAAGTAATATGGAGGAGTTACCTTGTCAAATAATGCGCTGCAGGTTCTAAGGCTGACCGGAGGCCCAGAAGACAGCAGTCGGTTCTGAATGTGAAGGTTGAAAACGGGAGGATTTACTCAAAAACAAACCCACAAAGTGTGTCAGAGTGAATTTCAGAGGAGGGTGAGGGGGGTGGAGAGGGGGAGAAGGTGGACACTTTGTCCTTGTATCAGCCCCTAACAGAGCATGAGCAGAGGACATGACGGGGACAAATCCCACGCCCTGCTGACGGGACGTCTTACAGCCTAGAAGAGTTTTATCTGTCTTTAGATGATGAAATATAAAACACTTATTTTGAAACTTTTTAAAATCAAGAGTCAGAAGTAACATGTTGGTGTAATCAGACTGTATCTCAGTACTTCTCCTGTCTTCAGGCTGCTGCTTGGTGAAAAACTTTTATTTTGTAACACACCTGAGGTATTCTCTACTACCATGAATCATTTGGACAAGTTGTATTTTTTACTCCTTATTTACTCCACAGGCGTTATGCAGCAATGTTCTGTTTCTGGATGTTTGAAAATACCAAGAGAAAAAGAAATGCTTCCACTTTTGATGAAAGACAATTGCTTCTTGTAAAATAAATAACTGTTCTCATTAACGCTTTAATTGTTTTAAAGTCATTTCATTATACATGTACAGAAAAAAATCTTTCACACTCAAAATCATAAAATAATGCTACGTAAGGAATAAACAAGCAACGAGAGAACTTTTTTTTTGGGCTTTTCTCCTTTTTTTCTTGAGAACGAAGAACAAATTAAAGTGACCGTTCAGACCATTGGAAGTGGGGTTCAGTGGAATGATTGTGAACGATTAATATCTCACCTGTTGAACATAACTGTTAGAACATCATTTAGGAGAAATAAAGATTATTGACCAAATTGAAGAAGATAATTGCTAACCCAGGTCAAAGTGGATTGCTGCCATTTTAAATCAACTTCAGTTCCATCATTCTTGACATTGCTGTCAATTTCATCACACACTGATATCTACAAAAGTTTCTGTGGAGATCAACAAACAGGCTGCAGTAGCTAACTGTAGCACTTTCTGCAGGAATAGCTAAATATTTCTGCTAAAATAACAGTTTTATGGGAAACAGACAACATGTAAATATTTCTAAAACAGCGCTCACTTTAAGTGCTTTGAGGTTTTCTAGACTGGACTGATCTTAAGAGGGCAGCAATCCAATATGATCAGTTAGCTCATCAGTCTAGAAATTAACAAGCGTGAATGTTTGTAGTTTTGGAGATGAATGTTTTTCTGGACTGGAATCGAAGAGGGGCAACCTCAATGTTTTTGCTGCAAGGCATTCAAGTGGGGAAGAGTTACACTGTGGAGAAGAACAGAGGTAGTTTTTTTTTTTTTGTCCGAGGCAGCACAGACATATGGATCCTGGAGAGCAGAGGGATCAATTTTATCCACCACCAGGTGCAATGGAGGAGCCAGGGGGTGGCCAATGGTGGCCTTGGCCCTCATTGATTAATGGGTTAGGGTTAAGGGAGGGAGCAGAATGCTACGTTTGTATTGTGCGCGGTTGTTGAGGGACGGCGGTTGGTTAGCATAGCGCTACGTTATTGCCGAGTTGTTACAATCTCCGCTCCCTGTCTGGAAGCGGCGGAGCTGTGTGGGGTGGGGGATTTGGTAGGCAGGGTGCTTGGTTCTGTTGACAGAGGGGGGCGCCTGCAACCCAATTTTCAATAATGACCTTTCTTACGCCTATATGTAGCTACACACAAAGATGGAAGTCAGCACGGTGCTGATTTTTCCAGTTACCATGCGAACAACACGAATGGACATTTATGTTGGCAGCCATTTTGGATTTTAATGTGGCAACCAACATTTTAAAGGAATATTTTTACAAGTAGATTTAGCAACACACCAAAATGGCAGTCGTTACCTCACTTATTTTTTAAGTTACGCTGACATCATACACAGATGGACAAACAGAGTATTTCTATTTCTCCCTCTTCACTCTGCGACGAGGACAAACTGCATGTTTCCAAACTGATGCTTTTCAGAGAGCTACAACAGGTAAGATATTAATTGTTCATAACCTTCAAAATATCAAAATTTCTGTTTGTCTTCAGGCTGAAAATGTCCCCCAATTTTTTTTTCAAGAGTTCTGTTAAAAAAAAACAACATCTCATAAACAAAATTGAAAACATGCTTCAAGTAAAAAAAAAAAACACTCACAACAAATTATTTTACTGTGAATTGTTTGGCATAGTATGCAGTTGATACTTTAATAATATATTTGCTGTTTGTCAAAGAGTCAGCATGTCGAACTGAATGCTATATTTCTTTTGCGATCCATCCAAGATGCTGGCGTCTACATAATTCTGATGTTTTAACGTGTTATCGTGAACACACAAAAAAGAAAGCATTAACTATCACGTGTTAAGTCCAAGCTGCACGCCTCTGATAAACTGTTGCCCATAGGAAAATGATCAAATGTAATTTTTCGGATGGCTTAAAAGGAAAAATTGTTTAAAAAAACACAACAGAGAAGCTACAGTAGGTTGCTGTAAAAATAATTTTACTTTTCCTAATAAAGGCACAAAAATCCAGTGAAAATTTAGTTTGTAGGCGTGTACATTAAGGTTAAAGCTTATCTTAAATTTCTGCACAAATATGAGTTTGTTTGACCGGACCAGAGATGGGATATGTGCAAATAGAATTATGTCAAGACGTTTTATCTTAGCTATTAAATGTTGAAAGCTCAGAAGTGAAATGATATTTTTAAACCTTGAAAAACGACAAATGAAACTCGGTTTCGACCACAAAATGCACCAGCATGCAGACACCCACATGTACCACAGCCACTCAGAACAATCTGCCAGAGGTAAACAGGAGTGTGCTGACGGACCGGTTCTTGACATCCTTTCTGTTCTGTTAGCTCAGGATTTCAGAACCACTGAACAAATGTGAGTGAGATGCTTCTGCCGTGGACTAACAGCCTCTCAGCTGACTGCCACGCCCTTCTACTCTTCACTGGCATTGAGCCATTTCAAGAAACGTCCGCTATGATCGCCCCAGATCCCAGTGGAGCTGCCCTGAGGGGAGACGGTAAATCTAACTGACTCCACGTCTCCTTCACCCAGCGTGCAAAGGCTGAGACACAGAGCACAGATAACTGAGGTCAGCCCAGCAGGAGCTGTTCTAGATGCAGCTGAGCCTCCTGTGGTGGTGGCCTTTGAGCATTTTAACATCCAGTGAAAACAGACAGGGAAAAAAAATTAAACAAGCAGCAGCACCTCGCTCTTTCTCTCTGTGAATGAGTCGTAACACTGTGTGGCACATGCAGAACTCAGGGAGCTCACTGCAGGAAACACGTGAATATGGCCCAACAGAAGAAGACATCTATGTGAACAAGATGTACGCAGATGTCCCCATCGCTGAGAGATTTGACCAGTTAATGTTTGTAGTTTTCAAGTTTTTTTGGACTTTTTTTTTCTGTTTGTCCAAGGTGGCACAGTGACAGATCCTGGCGTGTGGAAGGAGCAATTTTATCCTCCACCAGGTGCAGCGTTGGCCTTGACCACCATGGACTAGTCATTGGCCACCCAGTTGTTTGATAAAATCGTACTCTTGGTAGGCTTGGTCGGTTTCACATACAGTAGTCCCTCGCTACTTGGCGGTTCGTTTTTCGCGGACTCGCCCTGTCGCAGTTTTTCAAAATAAGATTGGACATGATACACAATTGGCTGATTGATGGATGAGTTGCACAATTGGCAAGGAATTTTAATTAAAAATAATTTATTTTAAATTATTTAGCACCTGCTGCACCTGTGTGCAGCCCACAGTGTCATTTCTCCACTCTGCAGAGGAGAAGTGGGCGTGGCCGAGAGTGCTGGCAGCCGGAGGCATAGAGATGATATCATGACATGCTGGGCTCTTTTAGAGCATTTAGTTTAGAAACATTGTTTAGAATATTGCAAGGATGTAGGAAGGGTTTAAAACGCCTTTACACATATATATTATATATTAGGGATGCACAAAATTATCAGCATGGTATCGGCCGATATTAGCGTTAAAGTTCAATATTAGACATCGGCCATTCCTTTAAAATAACTCGCCGATATAAAAGACGCTGTTTTTGCCTGCAGCAGCACAACACGATGACGTCACGAGCGCCTACACGATCTCACGGCAGAGAGAAAAATTCAAAATGTTTGCAGTGTGAAAGTTTTTTTTCGTTGAGGATGTCGGATTCCAAAGATTTTTGGATTACGTTGAGCCTTGCTACATCGTCCCCAGTCGGAGATATTTTTCCGACGTAACGTTACCCGAGTTACAAGCCGTCATTTCCAACGTCTTTGAGAAGCTAATAGCCGATAGCACGACTTGTTGGGTGAGTTTTACCACAGACATTTGGACGTTGTGTTAGCCTCGTTAGCATGATTAGTCTTATGGCACAATGGATACACAAAAACTTTGAACTTAAAAAGGCTGTCCTTCATGCACAGGAGTGCAGAGGATCCCACACTGCAGCTATAGGAACCTGGAACAAACCTCCACAAGTGAGACAGCATCGCAGGTGACTAATGCTAAT